CATTTAAAAAAATTAATGTGACCTTGACCTGACCTTCGCTACGCAACCCAAGGTCAAACTGATGTGATCAGTAAATACATCTTTTTAAACGCCACAACTTTTGTCTGAAACATTTTTTTGTAAAACTTATATTTTTCCTGATATTCGGGCGTCCCGGTACTTTCCGAACACCCTGTATATGCGAGGAGAAAACCTCGATTTTGTATTTTCTTTCGTTAGTTTTCCGCCGTAAGACGTGTGACAATATTACGAGTGGATGAATTAGTGCGTGAGTTTATTGTTACGGCTTCTCACGTTAGCGCGAATAATGATAGCGCACGATATTTGACACATATTTCCACCGATAACGGCGGAAAATTATATCATATTTTATACATTCGCATGTGTTTGTAGCAGCACGCTGCTAGCGCTTTTATTCAAGTGCGATAAATTTCAGAGTGATTCAAAATTAATAAAAATAGTAAAAGAAATCCTTATATTTCGACGGGATTTTGAGGAGGATGTCGAGGACGTTTGGAGGATCATTGACAACGTAATATCTTATAACGGGTAAGCTATTACATTATAATTTTATACTGAAAACTAAAACTTTATATCTTACGTGAATTTTAAGAATAACGTTTTATTGTTTCATAAGCGCGGCTCCTGTAACCACTGGTACCAGGACTCTCCACTGGCGACGGAGCAGCTCTTGAACTTCTTCCACGGGGTCGTAAACGCATCACGGAGAAACGATAAAATATTATCGTTAGTCGCGACAAACTGACGCGTTTAAAAGGCCGCGGTATTAGTCCTCCCGCCACTGACGTTAGAGAAACACACGCTAAAAAAGTGCTCTAGAAATCTGTAACTGAAAAATGTTATTAAATAAACATTTTTAGTATGCGTATACCTCTCTACGCATTTTTCAACTCTTGAGGCCCTATAAAACCGTTCTTGACCGCTCGCCGATTTCATATAGTCAGTAGCCCTCCGTTAGTCTCGTTTCGGTCCTACGAAAAGTTGATGTTTATTAAAATTACTCACGGCTTATTATCGTGTGAAATATAATGACTGTTAAAAATATTAAGCAGAATATCGAGAAAAGATCGGGCGGATGTAAATGCACTCGCAGCGACTTCACAAGAAGCCAACATTTTAATCGAAAGAAAAACATGTTACTGTCTATAACATACGCTTTGAACAATTTGGATACAAAGAAGGTGCAAGTGGGCTTGCAAGCAAACAACGCCAGGAGGTACAAAGTGGCTATAAAGCTAATCGGAAATTCAGCGGATTATATCTGCCTCGAACTCGAGGCGTGGGAGAAGTTTCAAGAGGAATTTGATCTCGTGAATTCTTACTTGTGTGTGGGACTAATAAAATTACACCACGTCCCTTGACCTTAAAGAACGTGACTATTTATTTCTCCACCGTCGGTATAGTTGCGTTCTCCTCCAGGACGTAACATTATTGGTCATAACAATTCGACTGCCTCCGTCCACTTAAGTGACTGGGGGCGCATTATAAAAAAACCAGTACTACATCTACCAGTACTACCGCATGCACGAAATTTTTACCCAACAATCATGGTTCGCCTTTTGCTGCGGGTTATGGGGAATTAGACCCACAGACAACGCGGATTACTGGCCCAAGAAAACGCGAGAGATTACACGACTCTTAGTCGAAGGACAGGAGTGGCTCTGAATTAAAAAATCTTTAGGCGAAAAGACTGCCAAGATTGACCTATATTTAGGTAAAGCCAACCATCGGGTTGGTAAACTTCAAAGACGAACTAGTTACACTCGACCAAGCCGCCCTAACAACCAAAGTACACTGACCGTATCCATCACTCTGAAAACCTATCTTACTTGTATACACCTCTATATTACTTAACTGTTTTACTTATATTCATCTCCACTTATATATACATGAAAAAAATATATATACAAAATGGTTCAAAACATGTTAACCTTGAGAGACACGATCAACATTTGAGGTTCGCGTTTTTCGTCAAAATCATTCATGTTATCCAATTTCGTACTCGTTTCGTATGCGTAAACGAGTGCTCTTCTTACATCTCTTTGCAATCGTTGCTCTAATTACCGTATTATTTATGTCAGAGCTCGGAATTAGTTGCCCATTTCGACCAGCCACCGATACGTGACAAGAAGCATTTATAGGCGGAATAGTTTTTTCCGCTTCTGCGTACATAGCGCACACTATTTTCTGCGGCCAATCATAAGGCCAGAGCACAGACTTTTACATAACGCATAAGGCATAACGCATAAGAGAATCAGCCAATCAGAGTCCTTCCTTTCCATCCCCACTTCTCATTCTGAGGATCTTGTATAGTGCATAAAGCATAATGCATAAGAGGTCAAAAAATCCGTAAGAACGAATTCTTATGCGTTATGTAAACGACATGCGTCAGAAAACAGTGTCCGCCACATATGTTCTATGATTCCTAACCTATTATGTATGTACATCAATAAAGTTGATATATTATTAGTGCTTCATATACCATTCATATAACGTTATTAATTTTTCGGATTGTGTGTCCGAAGCCAAGAACAAAAAAGGTA